ATAAATAAGAAATCAATATAAAAAGGTCCAGCTGAACACAGAGAGACTACTTTTTGACTTGTCATGGCTCTGTCTAAATCAAGTACAGTCATAACTTTGAGAATGGCAGAACTGAGGGCCACATTCCCCATGAAGGCAACTGCTCAGAGCTCCCCTCTAGAGAGATTTTTGTGTTGTTTATAGTTGAGCAGTGATTCACGGGGGCTGCTGGTGAAGGCAGTACTGTGGGCTAGTAAGGATAAGAAATCGGGCTTACACAGAGAACTCTAAGGAATAGCCTCTACCTCCTCCACCCACTGTTAGCAGGTGTGAGAGGTGTGAGAGGGCGGGCCCATATCCCTGGGCCCCCACCATGCCCAGTATCCTCCTGTAAGCACCTGTGCCTCTTGGCCCGAACGTTTCTCTCAGCTGCTGTGTAGCACCAGAAGAGGAGCCAGGCGCGGCACTCTGGCAGTGGCAGACCTGGAGGGGAAACACCTCCCTTTCCTACTCCGCGAATGGGATATCCCCGAGGCATGCCCTATACAGTCATCCAAGGTTCCCCAGTGGGACTGAGCGCCAGGTGCTCTGAGTGATAACCCACTCAATCACACACTCTTACAGCCCACTTTCCCTTCCCCCTGCCATCTTCCCCTCTTTTCTATCTGTGCTTCCTGGGACCACCTCCCAAATGAACTACTTACACTCAAATCCTTGTGTTAGGGTCCTTCCCAGAGGATTCCAATTCAAGTCACTTGCTCTTTCATTAGAGACACTTCAGTATAGTTTTAGGATTCCTTTTCCCCCTTGCTGCAATATTTATTTCAATAAAGTTTCCCCTACACAAGGTATCTGCTCCCTTTATTCCTTGGAGATGAGCCAGGTCCTACAGTGGCTGCCTTGGTCTCATGAATGGTGCTCAGATCCTGGGAACAGCATTCTATCTCATCTGGAATGGAAGAACCCTTTCCATCATCTCATACTGGAGTGTTGTCTTCTCTGTCACGTGCCTCTCCTGCAGTGGCACTACTCCTGGGAGTACCGCGGACACATGCTCAGATCCGTGGCTAAAGCCACTGCAGAGCTCATCCCTGCATACCAGGCACACAGCCACCTCCTGTGTCTGTGCAGGCTTTCTCCCTTCAAGTTCTTCTTCAGTTGAGCTGTAACGCATTTCTTCTGCCCAACAAAGCCAACAGAAACGGATGCTTCTTTTATTGCAAACATGGGCAGTTTAGGGGGCAGGTCCTCTGCTTGCCATGGCTCACCTGATTCAGCTCAAATACTACAGCACCAAGGAAGACCATTTCCTCCCTCAAGTCTAGGTAAAAATGTAGTACTTAAAGTTTTTATTTCACCAGGAATTTCTCCAACTTTTGAAGAGCTACCCATACTACCTTTTACCCATACTGCCTTAGAGGGCATTGTTGCAAGGTGGTTAATAGCATGGACGCTGAAGTCCAATGGTCTGGGTTTGAATATTGCCTCTGCCTGATTGTGTAGTTTTCGACGAGTTAACTAACTTTTCTGAGCATTACTATAAAATGGGGGAAACAATACCCTCTACTTCCAGGGTTGCTGAGAAGATACATACAAAGTGTTAATACAGCACCTGGCAAAGTAAAAGTGCAGTGATTATTACCCATTGTTACTACCAGTACTAAAAAGTGGTAATAACACCTTTGTAACTATTCTCCACCTGATCCTTGCAGAGAGGGTGACCACAGGGGAAGTGACGCTCCTCCACAAACCTTCAGCTCTGTGATGAAATTCCCTGATCCTCCATACCTATCCAGGCCTGATAGAGTATAATCAGTTTGCTTCTACTTCTAGTAGAATATATTTCACAGCCTAATAGTTCAAAGAGACCGCACAACCCCCATCCCCAAATGTATACTCTCATTCAAAAATGCCATCTCAATCTTTCTTGAGGACATACATTTTTATGTGTTTTATGTATATTTTCTAGTCACTGTTCTTCAACCAGAAGAACATGCCTAGAAACAGAGTTTGCCCCCAAAATAAAAAATAATTATATACATATATATAATAGAGGTGAAGAACTATTATAGTAAAATTTGTGAGGATTTGAGTGGGGCTTGAAATGTGCCTTTTTGGTAAGACACATTTTTTGTAAGCTAAGTAAATTCATAGTGGAAACAAGCATGGCAGATGAATAGACTATCAACCCTTCTAAGTGATGTATGATTCTAAACAGCAGCCACTGGATGCAAGCAAACAATAGATGTCCTACACCAAAACTGAGCCAGGGTTTTACATTTATAAAATGGACACACACCACTTTATGACTTTTCTTGGCATCCACGTTACCACCTATGGTTGAAAGCTGTACAGCCACTTAAAAAATATCTTTTTATAATTCAGAATGATCACCAATTTGATCGATCCTCTCCCCTTTATTAGTGTTTTCTACCTCAATGGCCATCCCCAATACAGGCCCTCCATTCTGTTAATTCTTCCTGTCTGAATGGAGCCTCATTTCCTCAGCTCCACATACTCCTCCCCAGGCTCATCCTGCACAGCACTGCCAGCCTCATCTTCCCACAGCTGCACACATGGGATGTGACTGCTCTGCTCACAAGTCCTTCCTTCATTGGCCCCAACACACACACACACACACACACACACACACACACACACACACACACA